GATAATTGTGGTAGTGATGGTGATGGTGAGGGTGATGATGTAGCTGATGGTGGTGTTTCTGTTATCATTGTTGCTGTTGTTGTTATGTTTGTGTATTTCTGGGTATGTGTTTCTGGGTATGTTAGTAGGCATAGGTAGGTTTGAGTGTAAGGGGGAAGAGGACACATGGGGGGGGGGTGTTGTATGAGATAAGAGAGATTCAAAGAAATCTCGATAGATTACCAGATTGACAATGTTATAGAGAGAGTGAGACACCTACTTGTCTAGATAGATGAAATGATCGATAAATGTAGCATTTACGCACACACATACACACAAACACACACGCACACAAACACACACGCACACAAACACACACACACACACACACAAGCAAGCAGACACACAAACAAGCACACACATACAAGCACACACACAAACACACAGAAACACCCACATACACACACACACAAACACCCCCACACACACAAACACACACACACACACACACACACAAGCACAAACACACGCACGCACAAACAGCGAATTGCTCATAATCTCGGTCACTGCAAGAAAAATATCGTCATTGTGCAGTTGATTGCAAGATGGGAGGAACTTTATGCCCTCTAACAAGAATTTCCTTAATAATGTTTAACTCCCTCGAGAAATCATGGAAGTGAAGAAGGAGTGTTCAGTGCTCTCCCTGGAATGGGGGGGAGGGGGGGGGAGGGGAGGGGGGGAAAGAGGAGGAGAGGGATAAAGGGGGGGGGAAGAGGAGGGGGAAGAGAAGGAGAGAAGGAGGAGGAAGAGGAAGGGGGAAGAGAAGGAGAGGGATAAGGTGGGGGAGGAGAGGGAAGAGAAGGGAGAATAGGTGATAAGAAGGGAAGAGAGGGGGAGGGGGGAAAGAGGAGGGGGAAGAGGAGGAGAGGGATAAGGTGGGGGAGGAGGAGGGGGAGAGAGAGGAAAGGGAGGAGAAGGAAGAGTAGGTGATAAGAATGGAAGAGAGGGGGAAGGGAGGAGGAGAGGGTTATGGGGGAAGGAGGAGGGGAGGAGAGAGGAAAGGGAGGAGAAGGGAGAGTAGGTGATAAGAATGGAAGAGAGGAGGAGGGGAGGAGGAAGAAGGAAGGGGAGAGGGATAAGGGGGGGGGGAGAGGAGGGGACAGGAGAGGAAAGAGAGAGATAAAAGGAATGAAAGAAAAGGGAGTAGCATGGAACGATAAGAAGAGGAGGTAGAGAGGGAGAGGAGAGTGAAAGGAAAAGGTAAGGAAAATGAGATAGAGAGAAGGAGGGGTGGGTGGGTAGAGGAGGAGGAGAGGGAGAGGAAAAAAAGAGGATATTGGAGTGTGTGTGTGTGAGAGAGAGAGAGAGAGAAAGAGAGTTAGAGAAAGGGAGAGAAAGATAGAGAGAGAGAGAGAGAGAGAGAGAGAGAGAGAGAGAGAGAGTGAGAGAAAGAGAGAGAGAGAGAGAGAATGAGAGAGAGAGAGAGAGTTTATCTTATCTGATTCGTACCTAGTATTTTTTATTATTATAATTATTACTATTATTATCATTATCATCATTAAGAAAGATCCATTTGATAAAAATCACCACAAAACAATTATCTGTTACTTTTCTTTTTCTGAAATGCTTCGCTCACCAATTTGTTAACATTCTTTCTGCCGCTTTTCATTCTTAACTTTTTCCTACTGCGACCTCTAATTCAGTATTTCAAATTCTTCTTTGTCTAACTTCGCTGTTAATTTTGCCGAATAGTTATGTCATCACGTTTTTTTGTTGTTACGTCCCGTTTTTTTTCTGTCGCCCCGTTTTCTTTTTATCGCTCCGTTTTCTTTCTGTCGCTCCGTTTTCTTTTAGTTGTTCGCGTTTTCTTCGTGTTATCTGGTGTTCGTGTTCTTGTTTTTTTTTGTGTTATATCTGGTTTCTTCTTGTGTTTTTCTTTTTTTTTCGTATTATCTGCTGTTCGTGTTCTCTTTTTCTCGATATTATTCCCGTTTTCTTCATTCTTCCGTTTTCTTCACGTAGTTCCCGTTTTCTTTATGTCATTTCCGTTTTCTTTATATTGTTCCCGTTTTCTTTATGTCATTTCCGTTTTCTTTATATTGTTCCCGTTTTCTTTATGTCATTTTCGTTTTCTTCATGCTGTTCCCGTTTTCTTTATATCATTCCCATTTCTTTAATGTTATTTCCGTTTTCTTCATGTTGTTTTCTTTATATGGTCCCCATTCCTCCATGAAAAAGGTGAAAAAAAAAGAAAAAAAAGAGAAAAAAAGAAAAAAAAGAAAAAAGAAAAAAGAAAAATAAATAAAACAAAACAACAATAGCTCGAAGCGACACCTTGAATCGCCGAAACAAAACCCGAAAACCGATCACGAGACTGAAATAAAACAGCAAAAAAAACAAAAAAAAAAAAAAACTCCACGCTTTTTTTCCTTTTATCTCTGTCTCTATCTTTATCTTGCATTACTCGCCTTTTCCTTTTATCTCTATCTCTCTCATTATCTCTATAACTAGCCTTTTCCTT